TACCTATACAGATATTTGAGTGTGGTATATTTTTAAGATTTTGGAAATTTCTCAAATGACTGGAAATTTCCAAGATACCCAGGCATTCGAGGAATTTCCCAAATGCCTGGGTAACTGGGAAATTTCCCTAATGCCTGAGAATCTGGGAAATTTCCCAAATGCTTGGGTATCTGGGAAATTTTCAAATGCCTGAGTATCTGGGAAATTTTCCAAATGCTGGTTTTTGGGAAATTCCCCAAATATCCAGTTATTTTAGAAATTTCCAAAATCTTAAAAATATACCACCCTCAAATACCTATAAGAATTTGGGAAATTTCCCAAATGCCTGGGTATCTGGGAAATTTCCCAAATACCTACAGATATTTGAAGGTAGTATATTTTTAAGATTTTGAAAGTTTCTCAAATGACGGGAAATTTCCAAGATACCCAGGCATTTAGGGAATTCCCCAAATGCCCAGACATTTGAGGAATTTCCCAAATACCTAGGTTTTTGGGAAACTCCCTAAATATCCAGTCATTTGAAAAATTTCCAAAATCTTAAAAATATACCATCTTCAAATATAGGAATTTGGGAAATTTCCCAAATGCCTGAGTGCCTGAGAAATTTCCCAAATAATAAATAAAAATTGAATTTAGGCGTTTAAATGTTGATTTTCAAGTTACCATTTGTTAAACTCATTTTTTTGCGAATTTTTCTGTTTCAATTGTGCTTTAAAAAAAAAAAAATGTCGCCATGTTTTCCGGGTAAAATTGTTCAATTTTGACTGTCTATAAACCTTCCCTTTCACAACAAATTTGGGCCCGAACGGTTAAACCGTTTTGAATTAAATACTGCCAGAAAGACAGACACCAAGAAAAGCAAAGTTTATATTTAGATGCTTCCATTTCATTACAGCTTTAAAGAATATTATTTTCTTAAATCAGGAGGAGAAAAGTTTTCAATCTCCCATTGGACTTCTATCCAAGGTAAATTTTTATTTTTTCTTCTGACAATAGTTTAATTTTTATTCTGACAATAGTTTATTTTTTATTCTGACAATAGTTTATTATTTATGATGACATTTGAAAGATTTTGAGATAATTCTTTTTTTGTCGACAAGAAAGTATTTGATCAAAATATTTAAATTTTTTGAAAATTTACTTGATCTTGTAGGTTAAAACGAACATTGCATATTATTGGCATAATTTTACATTTTTATACCTACTTCATTTGCTTTCGATAATTGTAAGCTTTTTAAATTTGAAAAGTTAGTTTTTTATTCAACAACCTCAGAATATAACACAATTTGTATAGGACTTAGGTGTTCCCTGTCAATGAAATGTCCTGTCTATAAAATGTCTTTCTATGAAATGTCCAAACACCTTAAAACTAAACTAATGGTAAAACTATGTATCATGGTAAACTAAGAGGTCCTGATTAAAACTAAACTAATGGTAAAATTATGCATCATGGTAAACTAAGAGGTTCTGACTCTGTCTTGACTTTAGAACCCATTCTCACCCACTAGATTGTAGACAACGGCGTACACAGATATAAATTTAGGGTGGGGGGCGAATATGCATGAAGGGTAACATTTTTGTCTGCCCCCCCCCTACTAGCTCCAAGGGGGGTGGGGGGCAAAATTTGAACTGTAAATTTAAATTATTTTCCTTCTTGGATACTTTAAAAAGTTCATAATCAGTACAATCACCTAGCAAGTACTACTTTATCTCTCATTAAAAAAAAACTAGCAGAAAAAAACAGCAAACAAATTGTTTATGCTCTTCATTCGTAAGTTTCAGATTTGATAAGCGGTATATCTCTGAGTTGAAAGGGGGGGGGGCACTGCCCACTTGTCCCCCCCCCCTGTGTACGCCCTTGATTGTAGATTTTTCGCTTTTGATGTTCTAATTTTTTGTTGTTGGACTATAAAATAATTAAGTATTTCAGATCTCTTTCGATTTATTTCTTAGGGATTTTTAACTAGATACAGACCGTTGTATAGTTAGATATACGTGGTATATGTCCGTTGTATAGTTAGATATACGTGGTATATGTCCGTTGTATGGTTAGATATACGTGGTATATGTCCGTTGTATAGTTAGATATACGTGGTATAGGTCCGTTGTGTAGTTAGTTATACGTGGTATATGTCCGTTGTATAGTTAGTTATACGTGGTATATGTCCGTTGTATAGTTAGTTATACGTGGTATATGTCCGTTGAGTAGGTCGTGCCGGTTCCGAGAAAAGGGTTGACGTTCCGAAAAAGTTTGGCCGGCAAAAGCAAATTCTTGAAATCGTCGGCTTCATTGAAAATTTGGATTACGTGAACTACAAATGAATATATATGTTTTGTATAGCTATATATATATATAAAGTTGTAATGTCTGTTTGTTTGTTTGTTTGTCCGATCAGAACTCAATTTCATAAACCCCTTGACCGAACTAGATAGATTCATGAGAATTTTCTTAGCTGGGTTACCACACAACTTCTTTATATAAGACTAGTTGAAGTTTTCAGCAGTCTTTTATCTCTTCAATCATCATAACTTCTTTAATTAAAGAGCTATTGAGCAGAACAATTATGTTTTGAATAATACACATAATATACATAATAATAATAGTATACAAATATATGTGGGGGGGGACATAGTGTTAAGTTGCGATATGGGGAAGGGGGAGAGGGATTATTCTTATCATTACACCCTTGTAACAAGGGGATACATTTCAACTTAAAATCATTTATCTTTTCATCCATATCTTTGTATTCATCCATATATTTTCATCCATATATTTGTATTCATCCATATCTTTTCATCCATATCTTTGTATTCATCCATATCTTTTCATTCATCCATATCTTTTCATCCATATCTTTTCATTCATCATTTTTTCATCCATATCTTTTCACTCATCTATATCTTTTCATTCATCCATATCTTTTCATCCATATCTTTGTACTCATCCATATCTTTTCATTTATCCATATCTTTGTTTTCATCCATATCTTTTCATTCATCCATATCTTTTCATTCATCCTTATCTTTTCAATCATTCTTTTCATTCATATCTTTTCATTCATCTATATCTTTTCATCCATATCTTTTCATTCATATCTTTTCATTCAACCATATATTTTCATCCATATCTTTTCATTCATCCTTATCTTTTCAATCATTCTTTTCATTCATATCTTTTCATTCATCTATATCTTTTCATCCATATCTTTTAATTCATATCTTTTCATCCATCCATATATTTTCATCCATATCATTTCATCCATATCTTTTCATCTACATCTTTCCATTCATCCACATCTTTTCTTTCATATCTTTCTGTTCATCCATATCTTTTCATCTATATCTTTTCACTCATCTATATCTTTTCATCCATATCTTTTCATCTATATCTTTCCATTCATCAAATCTTTTCATCCTTTTCTTTTCTTTCGTATCTTTCCATTCATCCTTATCTTTCCATTCATATCTTTCCATTCATCCTTATCTTTCCATTCATATCTTTCCATTCATCCATATATTTTCATCCATATCTTTTCATTCATATCTTTTCATTCAACCATATATTTTCATCCATATCTTTTCATTCATATCTTTTCATCCGTATCTTTTCATCCATATCTTTTCATTTTTATCTTTCATTCATTCATATCTTTCCATTAATCCATATCTTTCATTCATCTCTCTATCTATCTATCTATCTATCTATCTATCTATCTATCTATCTATCTATCTATCTATCTATCTATCTATCTATCTATCTATCTATCTATCTATCTATACAGTAGGGTATAGAGTACAGTAGGTTATAGAGTACAGTAGGGTAAGGTGAGTACAGTAGGGTATAGAGTACAGTAGGGTATAGAGTACAGTAGGGTATAGAGTACAGTAGGGTATAGAGTACAGTAGGGTATAGTGTACAGTAGGGTATAGAGTACAGTAGGGTATGGAGTACAGTAGGGTATGGAGTACAGTAGGGTATAGAGAGTACAGATTTGTCAGAAGTTCTCAAGAACAAATCTAATAGAGTTTATAACTTAATGTACGAGCATAAAGTTACGTCTTTAAAGCTCTTAAAAAAAATATATATAAATATGTTTTTAATGCTTATATCCGTCGAAAATATTTTTTTAACATTTTTACTATTTTTTTTTTGCAATTTTGTCAAACCTTCCAAGCCATCTTACGAAATTACTAAAGATTAGCTAGCCTAGAAGACACGGTGTACTAAGCCAGTGGGGTCGGTCAAATAGGCCTAGGATTAGGCCGGGTACTGTAAAAAGTCTGAACGCGCCATGGGAGTTGTCATAGTTAGTCCTCCGACGGGACTATGCCAAGAAAATTGACCCCTGTCGTATGTTAGTCTGGTTAGGGCGACGTACTGTACCATAGGATCGGGTCAGTACACGCTGTTATCTGGCAGGCCGGTACAAACTAGGCACGTCCTGTTCGAATTCAAATTTACTACGACCCAGAGTGAAGAATGTTACGCCAAACTAAAGTAAATTGCATTTAAGATTAAAATATAATTTGTTTACAATCAGAACTCCGTTTAATAAATAGCTGTTGAGAAGAACAAGATGTTTTGAAATTTTAATTTATAAATCAGAAAAATTTGTTTCTCTCAAGTATCTTGACGTAAAATCAAAACTAAGAGGAGATACGAGGTCATAAAGTACCCCCAGTGCTCACCACATTCTTTACACCTATATATTTTGACTCTTAGATCTCTTAGATGTGAAAACGGGATGCCCCCAGACTCTCGACCTTTGCAGCCTTTTTATGATGTAAATTCTTTAATGTGTTAAATTGTAAAATTTATTATCAAACTGATAGCCAAAGAAGAACGAAGGAGATTACCGAATTGGAAACTTTTCTGCTACATCTATATTTGATCTCTCATCCCAGGAAGGAGGGGGGGGGGGATAATCCCCTCTTTCCCGGGACGAATTTTGGGATGCTAACCATGGAAAACCCATTGGTATTGGCTCCGGATCTGGAACCCCGAGTCTAATTGGTTGCGGAGCTGGAGTCCTCGCCTCTCATTGGTTGGAGCTAATCCGTCCCGGTTTCCTATTGGTTGGGAAGGTTCCATGAAGATTTAGGACGGAGAAACCAGAGAATGGGGGAGGAGCAAGGAATGATCAGTTCTCTTGAGTCAGGATCAGGAACCACCCCTTCTCCTTCTCCTAAATACATGACCTCCTCGTCTCCTAGGAAAATGCCCCATTCAGGTGATTTCAACATTTGGAAAAAAGAAGTTTTAAAAGTTATAAAATGCATCACATCAAAAAAACAAATTTAAACAAAAAAGTTGATATACAGAGTGGATCTTTACTAAGGGGTCTGTAAGCGTAATTTTAATTCACCCTCCAAGCAAAGATGGCAATTACCGATTCGCGACAGTACCCTTGAAACCTTTATTTGATCAATAATGTAGCAGATATTATCATTTTCTAGGTTTAAAATTGTTTAGGTTTGATAATTCCTATGTGATTTGAAAATCAAGGTTGCACTCGATCCGCGACCGGCGGGTTTCCTGACGTTCTACCATCCTCGTATGTGAAACGATCCGGCGTAAACCCTGCAATAGAAATGCACGCACAATCAATTTTGTAGAAAACCATAATTATTCAGTTTTCAAAACTATAAACATTGATGTCTAATCTAATTCATGCATGACTAAATAATGTTGTGAATCGGGGCGTTGCCATTTTGCATGGAGGGTTACTTGAAATTACGCTTACAGTCCCTTTAAACTGCAGGGGCGGATTCAGATCTTTGAAAAGGGTGGTCAACTCACAATAAAACTGTGATGGTGGGGAGGGGGAGCACCGAGCGAAACTTTTGAGCGAGGAGGGGATGGAGGGGGTACATGGGGGCGGGAGCCCCATGCAATTGAACTTGCATTGAGAGTGAGTATTTTAAGTGCTCAAGAAAACAAATTACTCTTGAAATATGTAAAAATACTGCCACCTTCCAAAAATCGTATAATTGGACGGACCCAATGGTTTTTTTTAATTAAATCGGTCAATTTTTAACATTTTTATATTCTTCAATTTGATTTGAATTTGGGAAAACAACCTATTTTTAAAAATAATCCATGTATTAGTGTTTTTATTTACATTTTTATTATCATAACCCATATCAGGGAACCATTTCATGGAGCCATTTCAGGGAGCCATTTCTGGGAGCCATTTCACGGAGCCATATCAGGGAACCATTTCTGTTTTTTTAAATTGCATTTTTCAAATAGTCCAAGTATGAATAAATTTCGCTTCTGTTAAATGGTTTCTGAAAAAATGTCACAAAATTTGACACCCCGAAGCCCTACCATAGTTTTGGTGTCGCTGTAATGTTACTAAAAACTTTAACTTTAATGCAATTCTGAAATCGTAATAAACTTAATTATCAAAATAGGAAAGAATCATATTCAATTACTTAACAGCGTTGGCTAAAATCTTAAAATCTATCGGATTGATGAAAAGTAAAAGTATCATGATTTATCAATGAATTAAAAAATGTTTAGTCAAATGACCTTAAAGTATCTGCTAGAATACAGTTTCAGTAAACTTTCAAGTTTACTTTCAGGTCTCTAGAAAAAGGGGGGGGGTCTCTGAGTTTAAAAATCCAAGAAATGTTCACTAAATTATCATTTTATGTGGAAAAAGATATATTTTCTTTATTAGGGCAAGCTGGCATAAACCAGCTAGGAGGTGTGTTCGTAAACGGCCGACCACTTCCGGACATAATTCGTCGACGAATAGTAGAGCTAGCTCTTATGGGAGTTCGACCCTGTGACATCTCAAGGTATTAAAAGTTGTAAAAAAAGAATATGTAAAACCTTTACTTTACGCACATAACCACTAATATGTATACTGCATGCTATTTAGGCAGTTGTTGGTCTCACATGGTTGTGTCTCAAAGATCCTCACCAGGTTCTATGAAACCGGTTCCGTTAAACCTGGTTCCATCGGAGGAACCAAACATAAGGTAACTAATAAGGGTTCCATTTGATAAACCAAACATAAGGTAATTAGGAAACATGGTTCTATTGGAGGAACCAAACATAAGGTAACTAGGAAGCTAGGGTTTCATTTAAGGAACCAAACATCAGGTAACTAGGAAGGGGGGGCATGGTTCTATTGGAGAAACCAAGCATAAGGTAATTAGGAAGAGGGGGGGGGGGGTCATCATGGTTCTGTTGGAGGAACTAAACATCAGGTAATTAGGAAGGGGGGTGGGGCCTAGGTAATTAGGAAGGGGGCATGGTTCTATTGGAGGAACCAAGCATGAGAATTTGGAAGGGGGGAGTAACCAATCATAAGGTAATTAGGAAGGGGGCATGGTTCTATTGGAGTAACCAAGCATAAGGTAATAAGGAAGGAGGGCGGGGGGGGGGGTAAAATATGGTTCTATTGGAGGAACCAAACATAAGGTAATTAGGAAGGGGAGGAGGGGGGGGGGTTAAAATAAGGTTCTATTGGAGGAACCAAACATAAGGCAGCTGAAGGAAGAAGGTATATATACTACAAATAAAGGTTCCACTTACATTTAAACTCAATTTTTTCCAAAAATTTTAAAATGGCCTTTGAAAATAAATTTAGAATCTTGAAAGAAATAAAGTTTGAAACTTTAAGCAAAATATTTTCGAATAAAATTTTGCTCAAAAAAAGTTCCGTTTTGAAACAAGTTGGTTGTAAGTATATTTTAAATCTATTTTTTGTACTTCAAGCATTTCTTTAGAAAATATATACGCAAATAATGATGAAAATAGAAAATAGATACGCAAAATAATAATGAATATAGGAAATAAGTTTTCTAATCGCTAAATCTTTTCAACCAGTGCATGGAGCTGAAAATTATAGGATTGGATACTATTAATCCTGATTACTTAATTCACTGTGGAAACTTATGATGTTCTAAATCCTCTCTTTTTGTACACTCTGATTGGTAGAATTTTATGTAGTTTAGTGGATTAAGATTATATTAATCTAAAGATTAACAAAAAGAGGACATCAAGCATTGATCTCGATATCCACAATTCTAACGTTTTCAGCTTTGATGGTGCAGACTTTTAAAATTTTTAAGTTAAACTATTTGATCTAACATATAGTATAAAATATCATAGCCCTGCGACATCGGATTTCAAAGATAAAAATTAGAGTTTGTGGCAAAAACTCATTTTCTTTGTATTTAGCAAGTTGCAACTCCATCAGTAGTGAAGAGAATAATTAGAATAAAAACAGAGAATCCAGGCATGTTCGCTTGGGAGATCAGAGAACAGGTAAAATAGTCTTTGATCTGCGCGGCAATATCCAAAAAAGTATAGATATTACTCAATTGGTCTAAATACTCATTATCTCTCTATGAAGATTTTCGAACATTTTCGCCTGCTCTGTCTCTACAAAATGTTTATTGGACATCTTTATTTATGTAGAAATACATCCTCTTCATTATTATAATCTAACTGGTACGAGTTTGTGACCTTGTTTCACCCCAAAAAGAAGAACAGCAACCGAAGTCAAACTAAAGTAAATTTTGCATGTTTACAATTATAACAGCTATTGAGACGAACAAAAAAAGTTTTGAATTTCAAATTTAAATTCTGATAAACTTAATTTTCTCATACTTGTAAATAAAATCAAAAATAGATGTGCTACAAGGTCACAACGTTGTAATAGTAAATTGGTCCCTCACCTTCTTTCTTGTTCAGAATTACTCTCTGTGTCCTCATATATAAATATTTATTATATTTAGTTGATAGGACAACGTGTAGTAGAACCGTCCTCTATACCCTCTGTGTCCTCTACATATGTGTGTGTATAAATATTATATTTAGCTGATAGGACAACGTGTAGTAGAACCGTCCTCTATACCCTCTGTGTCCTCTATATATATGTGTGTAAAAATATTATATTTAGCTGATAGGACAACGTGTAGTAGAACCGTCCTCTATACCCTCTGTGTCCTATATATATATAATTCTACGGAACGCAGGACATCCTGTCTTTGAGGCTGAAACAGGACAAGGTGAATTTTAATTTGTTATCTTCTAAAGTTTTATCACCAAAAAAATAGTTTACTAGATAGATTAATTTGTGAATTATAATTATATAAATATATGTGTATATATATTTTATTTAGCTGATAGGACAACGTGTAGTAGAACCGTCCTCTATACCCTCTGTGTCCTCTATAAACAGGATTCTACGGAACGCAGGACATCCTGTCTTTGAGGCTGAAACAGGACAAGGTGAATTTTAATTTGTTATCTTCTAAAGTTTTATCACCAAAAAAATAGTTTACTAGATAGATTAATTTGTGAATAGTAAGTTAGATTAATATATATATATAGATATATGAATAAATAATAATATGGTAAACTAGCTTGGGAACCCAGCTTTGTCTGGAAACTAAACTATCTCTATTAAAGTCAACCAACTAAATTTAGATTTACTAAACCAAGCAAAGAATATTCATGTGGTTCTGCGCGCAGAGGCAATTCGTTCAAGGGGTTCCTGAGTTATGGTAAATTCGCGCAAACAAACAGAGATTACTACTCTAGATAGATAGATATCTTGATTAAACAATAATTCAGATATTTTACTTTTTAAGGTCAAGATAACTTTGGTAGAAATACATATAGATAGAAAGATAGATAGAGAATTATTTAGATAGATAGAAAGGTATATAGATAGATAGATAGATAGATATATAAATACATAGATCGAAAGATAGACATATAAATATATAGATAGAAAGATATATGTATAGAAAGATAGATAAATATATAGATAGATAGATAAATATATATATAGAAGGATACATATATAGATAGAAAGATAGATAAGGTAGATATCCTAAATGGAATCCATTTCATGACAAATATATTTACCCCGCTTCCTGTTCCAGAAAAACTTTCAGCTGCTCTAACTTTTCCACACACACACATTTTAATTCCATGCATTGTGTGAAACAAAATATAATATTCAATAAGATTCCTTTAGCCCAAGAATGAAAATCACCCATTCTTTATAAATTACTCTAAGTTAAAGATGCTGATTTTATTCTAAACAATTTTGTTGATAATGAGATCGCAACCATGATTAACTTATTATGTTCCGACTAGAAACTATATTTATATATTATACTTTATTCTTGTTTTTGTCTTATCATATTCTACCATTTTACCTTTGTGTACGAAATAAATCTATAATAATAATCGCTTTTATACATTGGAGTTTTGTCTAATCTTGTACTTGAAGGGACTTTTAGCGTTGTTTTAAGCGATCCTTCATGCAAAGATAGCAATGCACGATTTACAAAGATACCTTAATCTGATCAAAAATGCACGATTTACAAAGATACCTTAATCTGATCAAAAATGAACGATTTACAAAGATACCTTAATCTGATCAAAAATGAACGATTTACAAAGATACCATAATCTGATCAAAAAAGCACGATTTACAAAGATCCCTTAATCTGATCAAAAATGAACGATTTACAAAGATACCTTAATCTGATCAAAAATGATAAAAAATGAACGATTTACAAAGATACCTTATTCTGATAAAAATGCACGATTTACAAAGAAACCTTAATCTGATCAAAAACGGGGAAGAAAACGTAGTTTTTCGGACTTTTATGGTTTCTCCATGGCCTTTCTTACAAACAAGAAATTAGCTTGTGCAGAGAAACCAAAAATGAAAATAAACAGTTGAAATAAACAAAACCATTGATATCTAATTTATACTTGACCAGAGAAAGCGTTAAGGGTACCGTTGTAAATCGGGCATTGCCATCTTTGCATTGAGGCTCACTTGAAATTACGCTGATATTCCCTTTAAATCTTTTTCCCCAATAGATGAACAAACCCTTTAAATGAATAATATTGTATAATAAAGCCAGGGTTTAAGACTCAGATTGCTGCAGTCACGGAACTAGATTTTATCTGGACTAGACAAACATGTAATATATATATACATATATATATATTCATACTTCCGTTTATTAAACAATACGAAAACCTGTAAGCACTTACGTTCGTCTGGTAAAAGTATAAACTGTATATCTACCATTATTAAATCAGAAGCACATTTTACCTTTTTTAAACACAATCGTAAAATAAATCTTCTCTTTCTAAACTGGAAAAAAATCAAGTTTCCGTAATAAATCCAATGAACGATTGAAAACAGATGAAGATTTATTGTCACTGTGGGATATTTTGATTTGATATTTTTCTGAAAAAAACAGTTTATTTTTTCCAAGTGATGGTTTTTCAAAGTTATTATTTTTTTACTGTTTAAGCATTTTTTAGAATGGAAATTTTAGAATTATGGGCTGGCAGCTTGTAGTTACTTTTATTCAAATAGATTGTTAAATAAAATAGATGGCAACGTAGAATTTTATACACTCTTAGTATGTATTCTATCGTCACAAGTGTCAATTCAGTTTTTGTGTACGACAAAATTATCAATAATAGTGATAATTTTAGAATAAAGTGCTTTTCTTACAGTAAAATAAGTCCAATTTCATGTGTTCTTTAGTCTCTGCTTTTACACTTTCTTATTAACCTTGGAAAACATGTCCACTAATGTGAGACAATTTCGGTTTCCTTGTTATATTTGACACTTGTGACGTTGTGTATAATTGGTTCATTTCTCTGTTGCCACCTATTGTACTTGATAATCTATTTGCTTTTATTAATAAAAATGAAAACTGTAAACTATTTGTAAAAACTATTTGTATAAATTACCCCTGTAAACTATTTGTATAAACCACCCCTGTAAACTATTTGTATAAACTACCCCTGTATTCAAGGATCTAGTAGAGCTGAGGTTGACCCATGCACTCGTATACAGTATAGTTCTCATCCTCTTCCTGCCTGGAACATGCCACCATTATCTATCTATCCTTCGATATATTCAGGTTAAACCATTATCCATCTATCCATCAATATATTCAGGTTAAACCATTATCCATCTATCCATCATTATATTCAGGTTAAACCATTATCCATCTATCCATCATTATATTCAGGTTAAACCATTATCCATCTATCCATCAATATATTCAGGTTAAACCATTATC